AAAACGTAACTCAGTCACATAAAATTTATAACTCAGCCGTAAGGAATACTTACATCATCATGCAGCCATCCATATCTAATGTCTTTCCACGGTCTTTCAGTGATCATGATTCTGTAGAACTCACCCTCATCGACCGCTGTTGGGGTAGTGGCAGCGTCTTTATGTTTCTCTAGGTATTTCATAAGTTTATCCAATTTTGTTGGATCAACCGGTGCTAAAGGATCATATATTGCTGGTGAAGGTAATAACTTTTTCCTCATGCACGTCGTTACATTGTCTCCAATCTGAGGAAAAACTGGTGCTGGAGAAGCATTATCAGAGAGTTGCAATGCAGACCCATTTGCAGATAACTGAACATTTTTCTCCCGATATTCTTTTATTCTTTCGGATCTGATCATATCCTCTTCATCCTCATCAGACTCCGGAAGCACTTCGTCTCGTGTTGCGAGAAATTCGTCAGTAATATCCGCAAGCTCACTGTCGGCTTGAATCTGGTTCGGCTGAGGTACGGCTACTGTTATTAAACCGCGACGCGTCCTTTTTGCGACCGGATTCTGTAACTCAGCCATTTCTTTCTTCTGTAACTCAGACATTTCTTTCTTCTTCAACTCAGCCGCCTTCTTTTCGTCAGCCTTCCGTTGCTTTGTCTCAGCCGCTTTTTTCTCCTTTTTTCAGTCACCTCCTTCTTCTTTAACGCAGCCTCTTCTTCCCTACTTACAGCCGTAAAGTTATTCTTAGGAGACACATCCTTCTTTCCTAACTCAGCCGCCTCTTTGTCCTTCTCTTTAACCTCATTTCCTTTTTGTTTAAACCTAATTATCTTGTGCCCGCTTCCTAAGGCTGGGTCCTTTGCAGGAGAAATACCAACGAAATCAATAGTGTCTCCCAAATTCTTAGCAGGTGTGCTATGGACAGAGGCCTTAGCAGGTGGGCTATGGACAGAGGCCTTAGCAGGTGGACTATTGACTGACTGCTGCGGACAAAAGCTCGGCGGTGGCGGCGGTGGTGCTGGCAACGTTAAAGATTGTTGGGGAACTTTAGAGAAGTAATTGTCCACTGCAACTCTGACTAAATCAGGAATGTTCGTATAACTGGACTCCATTCTGCATAACCGCTCGTTGAAGTTTTCGAAGTTGGTCTCGTGGCTGTCTATTTTTGAGTCAGTTCTATCCAGAATATACATCATTTTCAACAGTATCGGATTTTGGCTAATATCATCCTTACCTTCCTTCTCGTAAGCACCCTTTCCCTCCACATCAGCTTCATCCTCTTGGAAGCTGCTCACTTTCTTCTGCTTCTTAATGGGTGGCTCAGCCTTTGACGAAACACCAAAAACCTTTGCGTTTGTTTGTTTGCGTTTCATCTGTGTTCCCCA